GCAACTCTTGTTTAAATCAATTGTTTGTTTACACATGCATGCATGAGTGCGTGGATATGTAACTCCATGGTTTTATTAGAAAACATTACCTCATAAATATGTTTTATGCTTTGTAGCAGTTGCAACTGTATTTTAAGTGTATTCCATGGCCTTGAGCTTTTTCTGCCTCATCATATGAATGATATTTACATTGTGTGGGTTGGAGGGGAAAGGGTGTGACTCTGCATAGTGACCATTTATGCTGTTCCATCGTATTTCAGTTTCCTTGAATTTGTTTCACATATTCTCAGGGAACTCTGTGGATGGTCTTTATGCTCTGTTAGTTAACTCTTTGATTCCGTAGGTTCAGTTTTCACTCCCAACCACCTGAACTCAGATGCTGTTGCCTCATTGCTTAAACATTGGATCAGAGCAGTTTCTTAAAGTGAAAATTTTCTCCCCAGTAAGACGGACACAGATCTTTCTCTAATGTGCTGTTATGTTGATGACAAGTTCATCTGTGTGAAGTCTTTAGACTAATGCTTAGTGTGTAGGACATGCTGAAACACCTGTCATCAGTGTGATGATGTCGTCATCATCATGATGTGTGTGTTCTTTTAAAGTCACTGTGGACTTTGTCATCTCTGAAGACACCTGTTTTGCTGTAACTCATCTAGATAGTGAATGTCACTCAGTGTAGAGTGTAACACTTCTGCATAGACAACCCGTTGATTGAATTTTTTGGTATGTTTTTCATGTATTGTCTACACAAGTGACAGATTCATGTTGATTGCAGGATATCATAATCTTAGAAAACAACAGAGGAAATTAAATTAGAGACCCACAGTTTGTTCCAAATAGATTTGCATGTATCTATCAGAATATTACTTCAACTGAATTGAACCTTACTCCTCTCACTTCTTATTTTGAGTGAAACTAAGAACCCTCCTCTGGAGAAGGCAATGGCACCCCACTCCAGTACTCTTGCCTGGAAAATCCCATGGACGGAGGACCCTGGTAGGCTGCAGTCCATGAGGTCGCTAAGAGTCAGACACGACTAAGTGACTTCACTTTCACTTTTCACTTCCATGCATTGGAGAAGGAAATGGCAACCCACTCCAGTGTTCTTGCCAGGAGAATCCCAGGGACGGGGGAGCCTGGTGTGAGGCCATCTATGGGGTCGCACAGAGTCGGACACGACTGAGGCGACTTAGCAGCAGCAGCAACAGCAGGAACCCTCCTCAGAGCCCGTTGGTGAAATGTGTTTTCATTTCAGGCACAGTTGACCTTCAAAGATGTGTTCATAGATTTCACTCCTGAGGAGTGGGAATGCCTGGACCCTGCCCAGAGGACCTTGTACAAGGACGTGACGGTGGAGACCCTCAGGAACCTGCTGTCTGTGGGTGAGGATCACTTCCCTCTGAAGTAGGGATATACTTTGGGGTGTCTTTGCATGTTCCCTCTGTGTCTCTTGGGAGCCCCTGTTTTTCTTACTGAGATCAAAGCCTTGTTGACTCTCACATGTAAGGCTTTGTGATTGGCATCAGGAATTTAAACTTGTCTTTCCGTCCAGTGACCTGCCCACTGTGTGATACACAAGGAGTTTTTCCAGAGCTTGAGTGTTTATGAAGCTGATTTCAAACTTGTGAAGGATCGAACCCATGCCTCCTCTATTTGCAGGCAGATTCTTTACCATAGAGCCACCAGGATGTTAAGGAAATTAAATAGTCTTGTTTAGGCTTCAAGACAAAGCAGTACATTCCTCTGATCTTCCTTCTAACCTGCCTGGACACACCCTGACTGTGAGTGCCCTTACTGCCTGCTGTGAGTGCAAGGCCTGTGGCACCATAAATAATTTAGGGGACAAACCTTGAGTTATTCAGCCATCGGAGGGGCTCTAGCCAACCAAGCCCCAGGCTTAGCAGCATCCAAGTTTTATAAGACGAAACAAACAGCATTAAGATGAAGCCAGAGCTGCTGTTTGCTCACAGATTGATGATGATGTCAGTTTGTGTCCTGGGATTATAAGCAGGAACCCCAAACTGCAATCTTTGAAGTCTCACCCACGGAGTGGACACCCTGCCTGGGACCTTTTCCCAGTTGAGACTCCAGATGTGCTGTGTCCTGGGACTTCCCAGCGCTGTTTGAGTCTGGATGTTGGTCAGAAGCCAATTTGATGATGTATCCTCTGCTGTTTCTATTTCTCTTTTCTTTTAATGTTAGTATATTGAAAGTCAACTAGATAATTCTCTATCTGTATTATGTATTATTTATTTGTATGGGGATTCCCTGGTTTCTCAGATGGTAAAGAGTCTGCATGCAATGCTAGAGACCCATATTCGATTCCTGAGTTGGTAAGATCCCCTGTAGAAGGAAATGGCAACCCACTCCAGTATTCTTGCCTTGAAAACCTCATGGCCGGTTGAGCCTGGTGGGCTACAGTCCATGCGGTCGCTAAGAGTCAGACACGAGTGAACACCTTCACTTTCACTTCTTTAATTTTTTAGAACAGGTGGCTTATCTTGTTAACAAATCCTTTGACCCTCAGTCGAAAGTGAAAATTTTTGGCAAAACATTAATTGGCGCTGTGAGCAGGATTTGTGAGACAAAATGCCACTCTGGGTATGTCATAGCTTTTCTTCCAAGGAGTAAGCATCTTTTAATTTCATGGCTGCAGTCACCATCCATGGTGATTTTCGAGCCCAAGAAAATAAAATCTGGCACTGTTTTTTTTTCCCCCCATGTATTTGCAATCAAGTGATAGGACCAGATGCCATGGTCTTAGTGTTGAATGTTGAGTTTTAAGCCAGCTTCTTTTTACTGTCCTCTTTCACCCCATCAAGAGGCTGTTTAATTCCTCTTTGCTCTCTGCCATTAATGTGGATTTATGTGCATATCTGAGATTGTTGATACTTTTCCTGGCATTCTTGATTCCAGCTTCTGTTTAATCCATCCCAGCATTTTGCATGATGTATTCTGCATATAAGTTAAATAAGCAGGGTGACAATATACAGCCTTGACATACTGCTTTCCCAGTTTTGAACCAGTTAGTTGTTCCATGTCTGGTTCTAACTTTAGCTTCTTGTCCTGCATACAGGTTTCTCAGGAGACAGGCAAGTTGGGTATTCCCATCTCTTTAAGAAACTGCTCTTTAGTTTTTACATTATTCATTATTTAGTTTCTTTGGGGTTATTTACCATTACAATATGTTGTCTATTCTTTGCATGCATACTCAGTCTTACAGAGCTGTCTGACTCTTTGTGACCCCATGGACTGTGGCCTGCCAGGCTTGTCTGTCCATGGAATTTCTTTCAGGCAAGAATACTGGAGTGGGTTGTCATTTCTGTCTCCAGAGGATCATTCAGATCCAGGGATTGAACTCTAGTCTTTTGCATCTCCTGTAGTGGCAGGCGGATTATTTATCACTCAGCCTCCTGCAAAGCCCTGTCTGTTCTTTAGCATGTAATTATGTATAAGTATGTGTAGATTGTATATAATGTATTTTTTCCCTCCTCAATTATGAGACAGTATGTTTACTACCAATTAGAGCCAATTCATTTGAATTACAGGTGATCACTTTTTTTTTAATTTTTTAAAATTTTACTTATTTATTTGGCTGTGCTGGGTCTTTGTTGCTGCATGAGCTTTTCTCTATTTGTGTAGAGCAGGTGGTACTCTATAGTTGCTTTGTGTAAGCCTCTCGTTGCCTTGTCTTCTCTTATTTTGGAACACAGGCTCTAGGTTGTGATGGCTTGTGTAGTTGTAGCATATGGGCTCAATAGTTGTGGCTCCCAGGCTCCCAAGCATAGGCTTAATAGTTGTAGCTCATGGGCTTAGTTGCTCCACAGCATGTGGGATCTTCCCAGCTCAGGGACTGAATCCATGTTTCCTGCATTGGCAGGCGGATTCTTTACCACTGAGCTACCAGGGAAGCCCGATTACTCTTTCTTTATTAAACACTGTTCATTTAGTGTTTCTTTTATTTTGAAAATCATCACTGGGAAGATTCATAATTCTGTTTAGGATGGGTATTACTTTTGGTGTAAGATCGTGTGTTCAACATGAAAGAATTTATTTATGAATTATAATTAATAGGATACCTATGGTTCTTTATATCTTGTAGGTATGTCTCATACACATATAAGCTGGAAATTACCGACAAAAGCAAGCAGTGATAAAGGAGAAGTATTTCACACAGTGATGTTGGGAAGATCTGAAAGCCATGAAATCACAGATTTTTTTCCTCAGAGAGGTCCAGGAGAATTTGCATGAATTTGAGTGTCAGGGGAGAGATGATGAAAGAAATTACAAAGGAACGTCTATAACTATAACCCAGAACAAAAATCTCACTAATGAAAGTGATCGGCACAGTAGAATTGCAGTGGGAGATAAGCCTGTTGAAAATAGGCATGGATCAAACTTTCAAGATGAACTGCAGATACTTCAACCTGAAGGGAAAACATTTGAATGTATTCAAGCTGTGAGGAGTAGCAACAGTACCACCTCAGATTTATGACTTCAGAGAACTCCTAGTTTCTGCACCAGCATTTCTAATATGTGTGAGAGTGCTGTTATGCACCCTTCAGTACTGGCACAAGACCAGGAAGCACAGAGGGGAAAACCATACAAATGTACTGAGTGTGCCATGACCTTTGTTCAGGACTCGGAACTCACTGGACATCAAAGGATCCATAGAGGAGAGAAACCAAATAAATGTGATGTATGTGGAAAGATCTTGAGTCAAAATGCAAGACTTAGAGTTCATTGGAGAATTCATACTGAAGAGAAACCATATAAATATTATGAATATAGCAAAGCTTTTAGTGCACATTCAGCCTTTACTGACCATCAGGCAGTTCATACAGGAGAGAAACCATATAAATGTAGTTTACGTGGCAAAGCCTTCAGTCACATGTCTTATTTTACAGTTCACTGGGGAATTCATACTGGACACAAACGTTACATGTGTAATGAGTGTGGCAAAGCTTTTAGTGCACATTCAGACTTAACTAGACATCGAGCAGTTCATACAGGAGAGAAACCATATAAATGTGACATATGTGGAAAAGCCTTTAGTGAAAACACAAGACTTACAGTTCATAGGAGAATTCATACTGGAGAGAAACCATATAAATGTCATATATGTGGAAAAGCCTTTAGTCAAAACGGAACACTTATAGTTCATAGGAGAATTCATACTGGAGAGAAACCATATAAATGTGATATATGTGGCCAGTGCTTTACTCAAAATGCACACCTTGGGATTCATCGTAGAATTCATACTGGAGAGAAACCGTATACATGTGAAGCATGCAGAAAAGCTTTTAGGGCTTATTCAGACTTAAGTAAACATCAAGCAATTCATAAAGGAGAGAAACCATATATATGTAATTTATGTGGCAAAGCCTTCAGTTTCAGGTCTTATTTTACACTCCATTGGAGAATTCATACTGGAGAGAAACCGTATCAGTGTGATGTATGTGGCCAGTGCTTTAGTGGAAATTCATACCTTAGGAGTCATTGGAGAATTCATACTGGAGAGAAACCTTACAAATGTAATGAGTGTGGCAAAGCCTTCGGTCAGAGTACAGGCCTTAAAGCTCATCAGAGAATTCATACTTTAGAGAAACCATATAAATGTGATGAGTGTCATTATCAGAGAAATGCAAATCAAAACCACAATGAGGTACCATTACATGCCAGTCAGAATGGCTGCTATCCAAAAGTCTACAAGCAATAAATGCTGAAGAGGGTGTGGAGAAAAGGGAACCCTCTTACACTGTTGGTGGGAGTGCAAACTAGTACAGCCACGATGGAGAAGAGTGTGGAGATTCCTTAAAAAAACTTGCCACATGACCCAGCAATCCTGCTGCTGGGCATAGACACTGAGGAAACCAGAATTGAAAGAGACACGTGTACCCCAATGTTCATGGCAGCACTGTTTATAATAGCCAGGACATGGATGCAAGCTAGATGCCCATCAGCAGATGAATGGATAAGAAAGCTGTGGTACATATACACAATGGAATGTTACTCAGCCATTAAAAAGAATACATTTGAATCAGTTCTAATGAGGTGGGTGAAACTGGAGCCTATTATACAGAGTGAAGTAAGCCAGAAAGAAAAATACCAAATACAGTATACTAACGCATATATATGGAATTTAGAAAGACGATAACAATAACCCTGTATTCGAGACAGCAAGAGAGACACAGATGTATTGAACAGTCTTTTGGACTCTGTGGGAGAGGGCAAGGGCGGGATGATACGGGAGAAAGGCATTGAAACGTAAATTATCACATGTGAAACGAATTGCCAGTCCAGGTTTGATGCATGATACAGGATGGGATGGTGGGGGGGTAGTTGTGGGGGGGGGGGTCAGGATGGGGAACACATGTACACCCATGGCGAATTCAAGTCAATATATGGCAAAACCAATACAATGTTGTAAAGTAAAATAAGTATAAAAAAATGTGATGAGTGTGGCAGAACTTTTAGTGCACATCCAGACTTTACTATAAACATCAAGCAGTTCACACAGGAGAGAATCCATATAAATGTAATTTATGTGGCAAAGCCTTGAGGTACACGGCTTCCTTTGCAATTCATCACAGAACTCATACTGGAGAGAAACCATACAAATGTGATGAGTGTGGCAAAGCTTATGCTGCACGTTCAACCTTTATTTACCATCAAGCAATACATATGGGAGAGAAACCATATAAATGTAATTTGTGTGGCACAGCCTTCAGGTACAGGACCTACTTTTCAGTTCATCAAATAATTCATAACGGAGAGTAACCTTACAAATGTCCTGAGTGTGGCAAAGTCTTTAGTCAGAGATTAGTCCTTACAATCAGAGAGTTCATACAATATGAAAATATAAATATGTAAATATGATATGTGTGGTCAGTGCCTTACTCAAATTGCCCACCTTGGAAGCTGCATGGCATGTCAAAAAAAACAAAAAATCACCAAGACCCTTTGTCAATCTCCAACTGGATTAATTGACCGAAATGTGGCCTAGCTATTGCTCCAAGCAGTTACTAATGCAGAATCAGTGTAGTTTTCTACCAGCCTGTAAATTGTTTTTTTAACTTAAGGTCTGTTTCAAGTGGGGATGATTCATTTGTTTATTTTTGGCTGTGCTGGGTCAGTCGTGTCCAGACTCTTTGTGACCCCATGGACTGTATCCCTTAAGAGGAGCCTGGTGGGGTCACAAAAAGTCGGACACGACTGAGTGATATTTTCACTTTATCTCCTAGTTTTCAGATCTCCCAGTTATTGGTTGACGACCCTGCATTTTACTTAGCAGTGTATTAACGGACTTAGTTCAAACAGTGAGTGGGACTCAAACTTATCTGGACTTGCTGAGGAGGTGGGTGGGTCCATGAGGCGCTTACTGATGTACCAAGGTAGTATCTCCAAAGCACAGACTGGTGCCTGTTTCTCTCCATCTTGAATTCGTAATGGCGACCCACTCCAGTACTCTTGCCTGGCGAATCCCATGGGGAGGAGCCTGGTAGGCTGAAGTCCATGGGGTCTCCAAGAGTCGGACACGACTGAACGACTTCACTTTCACTTTTAAGTTTCAGGCATTGGAGAAGGAAATGGCAATCCACTCCAGTGTTCTTGCCTGGAGAATCCCAGGGACGGAGGAGCCTTGTAGGCTGCCATCTGTGGGGACGCACAGAATCAGACACGACTGACGCTACTTAGCAGCAGCAGCAGCAGTCGCTGGGGCACTGTAGTGTCTAATGAGTTTGATCCTTGAAGAATTGGGATGTCAAGATACTTTTCTCCTTACAGGTTTTAGTAGGAAGCAGCCGGTTGTAAGAGTTGTGTGTTTCACATTCTAGCTTGTCATCCCTACACAAATCCAGTTGTTTACTTAAACTGTTTAAATTAATTCTAATTGCAGGAATATCTGGGTTTCTGGGTCGAGCCACCACCCTGTATTAACGCCCAGCCCTGCCACCACCCTAGGTTTCAGTTCCCAGACCTCGGAATCCCTTCAGCCTCATCAGCAGGACTCCTGTTAAGAATAAACCTTACTTTACAGCGTAATGATCCCACAAAATTTTAAGTTTTTACGTTAAAACTGTTCTGTGACAGTATGGTGCAACACAGGACACGGAAGACCCTCAAGTACTTGTAAACCCAGACAAGCTACGGTGGGAACCAAACGGAAGGACGTTCACCCCCTCGGCCCCGCCCCTCTCGGCAGGAAGCTGGCGAGTGCCCTACGCCCCGCCCTTCTCAGTGGCGTCTGCTCAGGTCCCGCCCCTCTGCTCAGGCCCCGCCCCCAGCTCCTCTCCCGCCTTTACCCAGGTCCGAGAGTTTCCATCAAGTCCCGAAACCGTGACTGCGGAGCTGAGGTCACTGTGGGGAGCGTGAGGTACCTTTTTCCCCCTAAACTGCGCCTGGGTGTCCCCTCTCCCATTTGCGAGGTCTTCGGACCGTCAAATTACCCTCACCTGCTCCTCCGCACCGAGTAATTTCAGTTTTGGCCCTCAGAGGCCGGACTCATGTACGGATGTGAGTATCGATGTGAGAGTTGTGCTACAAAGAAACCTGAGCGCTGAAGAATTGATGCTTTTGAACCGTGGTGTTGTAGAAGACTCTTGAGAGTCCCTTGGACTACAAGGAGATCCAACCAGTCCATCCTAAAGGAGATCAGTCCTGGGTGTTCATTGGAAGGACTGATGCTGAAGCTGAACTCCCAATACTTTGGCCACCTGATGCGAAGAACTGACTCTGGAAAAGACCCTGATGCTGGGAAAGATTGAAGGCGGGAGGAGAAGGGGACGGCAGAGAATGAGATGGTTGGATGGCATCACTGACTCAGTGGACATGAGTTTGAGTAAACTCTAGGAGTTGGTGATGGACAGGGAGGCCTGGCCTGCTGCAGTCCATGGGGTCCCAAAGAGTTGGACATGACTGAGTGACTGAACTGAACTGAGCTCCTAAACATTTTGTAATTGTTTTGGTAATTTTCTTCTTTTCTACGAAAGGGTAAAAGCTGATAAAGATGACTGCTACAGCCCTTGTGCTAGAGCGGAGTAGGGCTGAGGTGGCAGCAGGACCCTGTGTCGCTGAGGAAAGTCATGGGTGGAGGCCAGTCTGGGTGGATTTTCCAGTTGTGTCCAATACAAGTCCTGTCAGGGTTAGAGTTAGTGATTTAGGTTGAGCATAAACATTTGTTGTGGGTCGCATGGGTTTAAGCTGAATAGAGATCATGCTGTTAATGTCATGAATCCAGAACCTCCACTGTGATTGTATAAAATTGTTGAAGAGCAGCTGTATTTGTATCTGCTTGGCCATGTCATCACCAAATAAATAGAAAAGACATAATTCTGACCCCTTTCCCAGCCTGTGAAAAGTTGGAAAAGAGTGTGGTAACAAGAATTAGTATTATTGTGGAAATTCCTTGATGATCCTGTCATAGGGCTTCATGCTTTCACAGCCAAGGGCCTGGGTTTGATCTCTGGTTGGGGAAAAAAAATTAGTACTGTGATAAAAAGCATGTGCTCAGTCGAGTCCAACTCTTTGATACCCCATGGCCTGCAGCTCACCAGGTTCCTCTGTCCTTGGGATTTCCAGCAAAGAATACTGGAGCAGGTTGCCATTTCCTCCGCCAGGGTGTCTTCCTGGCCCAAGGAACGAACCCATGTCTCCTGCACTGGCAGACACATTCTTTACCAACTCTGCCACCTGGGAAGCCCAGGTAAGAGGCAGGAGTAAATATCTTAAGAAATGATTAATATTAGAATCAGAGTGTATGTATCATGCTGTAAATTCTACAGTAGATCATGTGACAAATAGTACTACTGGTGCAAACATTGAGGAATAATCTCTTTTGTAATGAAGTGATCATTTTAAGGTTAAGATTATGATTCAATGTTCATCTGAGCTGATTATTTCTTGTCTGTATGAATATTGTTGAAATCAGGCTGATGATGGACACATTTGAGACAATGATTTTACATAGGAATAGATATATAATACTTCTATACTGTTAGAGTTTGTTGTTATACTTGGTATTGTTAATATGAATATTGTGAGTAGTGTAAAGGAGGTAAATAAGTTTATTACTTTTATTTGAGGTTGCACCAGTTTTTTAGTCCCTCAGACCAATGGAAAACTACAATCCTTTAAAAGCTTGAGAAAACCATCTTGTTAGGTATGGAACCATGAATTAGCAGTTATTGCATATTATTTCTTCAATAAGCTTTAGTCTTATATTACTAGATTCATAATGTAGTATTTATGTTTTTTAAAAAACATTTACAGTATAAGAATGCTAAAATGATTTGGACATTTAATGGTAGGAGTAAGAGAGGAAATGGAGAGATATGAGGGTGTTTCCTCATGTAACTGATGGCTTAATGTTATTGATATCATGTGTGTATTTGCCTTTTTTGGCTTTTTTGCCTTCAGTCCAGGTAGACACTGCCTTTGAAGACACTTTCCTTCATAAAACCCTTTAGTACCTCTGGGCTCCCATGAAGTCTTCTTCCTGGAGATGGATTCACAGTCCCAGCCTTGCCCTTGGCTGAGGCCCCGTGCTCTCTCCAGTCCTGGGATTCTCAAGAGTCCACCCTTCTCCTAAGACCCCCTTCCCTCTCAGCCCCTCTTTCCTCACGTCTCCTCAGCGGGTCCTTCTGCTCCGCCGTCCTCCCCTTCTGATCACCCATTCCCCTCGCCCCATGTAGGGTAAGGTGACCTGAGCCAGCCCTGTGACATCCAGTGTTTCTTTCCCGAATTCTACCCCGCTAGAAAATGTGTAGTCAGTGGAAAATTTGTAGTCAATCTAGGAATAAAGGAAAATTTTTTTAAATAATAATAAAAATTTTAAAAAAGAAAATTTACTTTAGCCGACCTGAAGATTATAATCCAGCAGACAGTCGCTCACAGGCCTTGAGAACTGTTCTGAAGAGATAAGTGGGGGGAGGACAGTGTTTAGTTGATGCTGGTGAAGGGAACCCTGTAATCAGGCACATGTTTTGGTAGAAGTTTACTGCTCTTCTTGATGAACAGATACCTTCCTTAATGGTTCTTGTGCTTTTCTAAATATGGGAAGATACAGGAGTACAGGCTTATACAAATTTCTCCTCTGAAAGTACTTGATCTAAAGGCTTGTTCTGTCTGGGACCACCCCGAGCAGAGGGTGATACTCCTGGGAATTCCTGTCATGGCAGTGGTAGGTCAGTGACTGACTGAGGTGTCTAATGACTTGATTCTTTTTTTTTTTTTTTAAATGACTTGATTCTTGTAGAACTGGGTGGAGGGCAGCATTGTCTGTTTTTCAATCGCTTCCCTTTCTACCTTCATTTCAGCCAGTGTTTGGGAGGCATTTTGTGACCAGTTTGTCCCGTGGTGCTCAGTTCAGTTCAATTCAGTCGCTCAGGCGTGTCCGACTCTGTGACCCCATGAACCACAGCACGCCAGGCCTCCCTGTCCATCACCAACACCTGGAGTCCATCCAAACTCATGTCCATTGAGCTGGTGATGCCATCCAACCATCTCATCCTCTGTTGTCCCCTTCTCCTCCTGCCCTCAATCTTGATCCCAGCATCAGAGTCTTTTCCAATGAGTCAGCTGTTCGCATGAGTTGGCCAAAGGATTGGAGTTTCAGCTTCAACATCAGTCCTTCCAATGAACACCCAGGACTGATCTCCTTTAGGATGGACTGGTTAGATCTCCTTGCAGTCCAAGGGACTCTCAAGAGTCTTCTCCAACACCACAGTTGAAAAGCATCAATTCTTCTGCACTCAGCATTCTTTATAGTCCAGGTCTCAAATCCACACATGACCACTGGAAAAGCCATAGTCTTGACTAGATGGACTTTTTTGGCAAAGTAATGTCTCTGCTTTTTAATATGCTATCTAGGTTGGTCATAACTTTCTTTCCAAGGAGGAAGCGTCTTTTAATTTCATGGCTGCAGTCACCATCTGCAGTGATTTTGGAGCCCCCCAAAATAAAGTCAGCCACTGTTTCCACTGTTTCCCCATCTATTTCCCATGAAGTAATGGGACCAGATACCATGATCTTAGTATTATGAATGTTGACCTTTAAGCCAACTTTTTCACTCTCCTCTTCCACTTTCATCAAGAGGCTTTTTGGTTCCTCTTCACTTTCTGCCATAAGGGTGGTGTCATCTGCATATCTCAGGTTATTGATATTTCTCCCGGCAATCTTATTCCAGCTTGTGCCTCCTCCAGCCCAGTGTTTCTCATGATGTACTCTGCATATAAGTTAAATAAGCAGGGTGACAATATACAGCTTTGACATACTCCTTTTCCTATTTGGAACCAGTCTGTTGTTCCATGTCCAGTTCTAACTGTTCCTTCCTGACCCGCATACAGGTTTCTCAAGAGGCAGGTCAGGTGGTCTGGTATTCCCATCTCTTTAAGAATTCGCCACAGTTTATTGTGATCCACACAGTCAAAGGCTTTGGCATAGTCAATAAAGCAGAAACAGATGTTTTTCTGGAACTCTCTTGCTTTTTGGATGATCCAGGGAATGTTGGCAATTTGATCTCCGGTTCCTCTGCCTTTTCTAAAACCAGTTGAACATTTGGAAGTTCACAGTTCACATATTGCTGAAGCCTGGCTTGGAGAATTTTAAGCTTTACTTTACTAGCGTGTGAGATGAGTGCACTGGTGTGGTAGTTTTAGCATTCTTTGACATTGCCTTTCTTTGGGAT